GTTTAACCCAGATATATGGACTCTTTTTTACCCGTCCAAATGAGAACCAGTCTCGGACTGCGTTGGATGCTCACATGGCATAGGTCTCTGAACCAAGACAAACTTCGCAAAACAACACCTCACACCCATCAGATGAGGAGCCCAACAGTCAGCAGTCCAGCATCTTCAATCTTCCCCTCCCGTTGAGCAGTCCAAAAGAAAGAAAGTCTTTGCCGCTCATGTTGCGTTCGGGATCTCATTATATCGGTGTCTTTGACTTGCCAAGTGTACTCTAAGAGGAAGACCCCCTGGCCCTGGCTGGGGAGACTGGTCCATGAGGTCTCCCTATTTCAATACATGCCCCACATCGGCCCGCATCTTGCACACTCCGCCCCGATCCGGGTTCCGGCACCCGGGAGTGTCCGTGAGGATCTCCCCATGCCTGGGACGAGCCATGAAGACATTCCAATGGAAAGGAGTATCTGCAAAACGCTATGAGTGCAAACTTACTGTATAGCTGCACTCTTAGTGTGTTTTCCATGGAAATGAGAGTAAACCTCCGAACATCAATTTCAAGAGAACATGCCTCACATCGCCTCGCTGAGACTTCCAGACTCCACCGGACTCCCCATCACGGACCCGAACCGAATCGGGCTCCGCAGGAAGTGCTCGGGCTCCGCACGGCTTGCCCCTGAAGGTCCACTTTGGGGCAGCCTTCACCTCAGAACCGGTCGGCCGAAAAAGAAATGAGTCTGAGTCACCGTGGGTGGAGGATTCAGGGTCCGACCCTTGGAGGCTGCACATCTCGGTGAAAGGAGACGAGCCCTTTTGGGGGGAAGCACTGTCTGATCCCACAGCCGGTCGTGTCCGATTCGCCTTACTTTTCGCTCGAAGGCCCAGCTCGACGAGGCGAAAGAAAGTGTGGTCTTGACCGGATGGTCGCCAAGAGTCGCGTGTCACACATGGGTATGGCTCAGAAATAGGTTATGGCTCAGAAATAGGTATCAAAAGAGAGAACAGTTGGTGGAAGAAATCACACACGAACTGTGGCTCTCTTGTGGCTCCTCAGTGATGGCCAAACTGGAGAGTGAGACTCCATTGTGCACCAGGGTCTGTGGGTCAAAACGCGAGGCGAAAAGAATGCAACAGTGTCTGGGGTGACGGGTCAAAAAAGAGCTTCATATTGACATCAACCCCTCTTCAGGGACCCGAGGGAAACCGGCTTTGTCCAAAAAGCTGAAGAGTTATAGTACATACATCCTTCACAGAGAACTGTGACCTATTTCTTGGAGCATCCAACATCCGGTAGCGTCGCGCACTTCGGCTCACCCAAAAACATCAAAAACATGATCAAAAAAAAACCGACTTCTTCGGCCAGCTGAGGACCCCGGACCCCGGAGAGTTTGATCAAGAAATCACAGGAGCGGCTTTGCTGCATCTGCATCGAAATCACTCGACTCTTCGCCCGTTCAACCCCTTGGCTTTCGACGCCCTTGAGCCGGCAAAGCGGCGAAGGAAGCCTGGGCCATCCAACTCTGCCAAGGCAAGAACGACACCAAGAAAGACATGTAGAACATAAAAACGACTCTCCTACATCTGAAGGCATTGCCGTTCCAAACACCTGGGAAAGCTTTTTGGAGCCGCGCAATCAACCTCTCGCCAACCGGATCCGCTCGTTCCAAAACCCGGCCCTACAGGACAAGCAGAGTCTGTTCAATCCAGTTCAAGCAGAGTCTGTTTCGCTACTTTCAGATGGCACGTGTGCAGACTTTCGTTTGGTCAACTCCAATAACTTGAACTGTTGATATTCAGTGCTGATGGCAGCACCATGCTCTGCTTCCTCCTTCAGGGTAAAGGGCATGATGTACCAATACCACCCTGGTAGGACGAAGAGGGACAATACAAAGCCCACACTGGCCAGCAACAGTCCAACCTTGATCTCATTGTCTTCCAAGAATTGTTTTGCCTCTTCATTGGAGGACATCATGCGGCTCCATGAATCGTGCTCCAAAATCACCGCATAAGCCGTCTCAAAGGCCTTGTTCCAACAAATTCCCACCAAGACACCGAAACTCCCCATGACCGTCCTCAGGCTCGAAGCCATGCTTTGGAAATCCAGTTCCATCTCACTGGATGCTGACCCCACAGACTCTAGATCCCCACGCAGAAAGGCTCGCGGCTCGCACGGCGACCCGCACGGCTCCTCGCCGAGATCCATCTGAAGTTGCCCAGGAGACATCGAGCCCTTGCCTTCGCAAAGGTCTGCAACCTTATCCATGACGAGAATGCAAACGACGGAAAGCACGGACATGAAGGCGGCATTCGTGATGGTCGCCCGGTTGGTGACTTTGACCGGGTTGATCTGGAAGTCCTCGCAGTGACCAGTTCCTTTGCATAGCACATGCTTCTGGTAGTCGTACATTCGGTCACTACACAGCTGGTAGAAAAGAATCAAGCCGCCTCGTTGGAGGCACCAACATCCTGTATTTGAGGTGACCAGGCCAACAAGGTTGGACAAAAAGCGCTTCATGGTCCGGTGTGAGTGCATCCGTCGATGTCGTACCGTCCAAATGGCCGAGAATGAAAGCAGCATGCAAGCCAAAGTCCAAAAGATCGTGGTCGAAAAAGGTCTGTGTCGACCGGGAGGCCCACCGATGATGGGCATAAATTTGTCTTTGTTCACGTCTGATTCACTAAGCACATAGCACGCAACTTGACAAAGGAGAAAGCCCACGCTGATTGCTGTGGCCTCCTGCAACGCCTGCAGCACATGATCCACTCGTTCCTTTTTCCTAGTCCACCACTCTGGTTCGCGGCGTTTGGCCAGAATCGCGATCGGGTATGCAAGCATACAGAACAACAGCGCCAAGCATGGAACCAGAAAGGCTGCGAACCAGGACTGATTAAAGAAGGTCAGTTTTTGAACATGCCCAAGAAAGAGAATGCTGGCAAATGCCAGGATGCGGCTGCCTAGCCTGGTCGCAGCCGTCAAAAAGTGCATGTTCTCTTCCGGGCTGAGGTCGAGAAGCACCAGGAGCAAAAGCAAGAAGATGATGCAGGCAAAAAGAAAAACAGCCAGTTGGAAATCCCATGTGTCCGTGTGTTTGTCAATTTTCTCTCCAGTCACGTATGCTAGACAAATGATCATCATCCAGCAAATGGAAAAGTCAATGCTAGCAGCACAGAAAATAGACATCGTCGTGCTAATCAAGGTCCAACCTTCTTTCCTGATATCAACATCTGATGAATGCACCAAATAGACGGCTCCCATGGACATCACCACAAAGGAAATCAGCAGTAGTGCGGTGGTCCACGTCACATCGTCCACTTCCACATGTTGTTCTTGTTCTTCATTTCCGTGTCGCTCTTCTGGGCTAAAGGAGATCGTGTCCTGACCCGCAACCAAACACAGAGCCACGAAGAATAGACATCTTCTCACCATGGCAACCCGGGGACGTGTGTGTGTGTGTGACTTGGTGTGAACAGCCCTCTTTTGCGTTTTTCGGAACACTTGGTAGACTCTTGGTAGACTCTTGGTAGACTCTCTGGCGAAACGAGTCAAGAGTGACTCTTGCCGTGGGAATCGGAACCACCGGGGTGCTACGAGCCGAGCCGACCGTTGGACCAGAAAAACCCTCATTGGAGCGTGGCCGACGCTCCGAGGAGATCATCAATACCCGCCATCAAGGGGGTTGCACCCAATCACTTCCGTAAGAGCTGGAGCACTGTAAGTTTCCGAAAAAGAGCTGGAGCATCTGCTTAGCAAAATGGGCCTTTTGGTGGTGTCTTTCGTGCAAGGCAGAGAGCCACATCAAGAGACACGATTTTCCTGTCGTCCAGCAAAAGCAGAATGGTTATTTAACCCTCACATTCCTCTTCCATTCACATGCCTCCAACGAGTTGTCTGACACAAAGTGACAATAATATATATATATATAATTGGACGAAGAAAAGATTCATTGTGTCCTCGTGCAGTTTTTCGCCTTACTGTCGAAACACCGCAAAAGTGCGTAAGAATGCCAGCGTCGTCGCGGCACACGGATTACAAAAATGCAAAGATGTTCCCTCCCAGCAAAGCAAGGTGTTCTGAGTGACATAGGCACCCGGCACCCAGCTTCGAATTAACCCAGGAAAAATGAACGATATAAGCAGCTGTATTAATTGAAGGGTTTCTTCAACTCAAGCTCGTGAGAGTTTTGATCCATGGTGGTTGCTGGCTTAAAACGAGCAGTTTTCATCAGTCATCACAGGTTAGCAAAAGGGATTTGACTTGGCACAGGCGCTGTCTTGGCAGTCTAGGTTCTCACCATTCAACTCGTTCCCAGGTATTTCCAGGTCCATTCGCTTTGTCATTGATCACCCAATGAAGGGGCGCAGCCCAGATGACACTTGCAACCAGAGACCATGAGTATTAAAAGTCTGCCCGCCAAACTGGTTGTAAGACTCCCAGCGTGGCTCGACTCGCATCTTCTGTCTGAACGCGCCAAGATCAACAAAGCTCGCAACTTCCCCTGACATTGTTTGGAAACGTACACTTGGCACTTGGGTTTTCTATCTGCCTGGAAATCAGGCCGGACCAGGGCCCACTACTTGCCCAGAACGACCAGGGCCCCGTTTGGGACACAACTTGAAGTTGACCTCAACATGGACCCAACAAGGGGAACACAGTCCAGAAGGGAGTTCCAAACTTGTGGCATGTTGGGTTCAACGAGTTCCTCAATGAATCCATCCTGCGACCCCCGTCGCGGGACCACCGTCAAAAAGCGAATCTCGGTCGCCGCGTGCGGTTCCCAGCGCGAAGCGAGACGTCGTTGTCATTGCTTGAATGGCAAAGAAAGCCACGAAAGGGTGTTCCAAAATCGCCCTGGTGCTTCTGTGGTTTCTGCGTTTTGAAAATGGTGATGCATGATTCCAGCCTGTACTTAGACTGTTCACTTAAAACAGAAAGGAGGGAATTGGGCGCTCAGCGCTCTGGGTTGAAAAGTTCCTGTATGTTGCCATTACATACATCTGACATAACTCCTGGACCCCCTAAAAAGCATCTCATTGCGTCCAGAGCTGTCTGCGAGCATAAAACCGTATTATTCAAGCAATTGATAACTTTGTACACCGCCACGATGAACGTTACGGCGGCTGCGTTGTGCCTCACTCATCCTGATCCTGGCATTCGCAATTGGTTAAGCCTAAGTGGCCCGATGCTGGAAATGGTTGCTGATCAAGTTGTTCGGGGATTGCCAGGCTCTGAATAGTTTAATCTGTCTGATGCTTTTGTTCCAACTTGTTGATGTTTTCATCTTTGTTAAGAGCCCGATCAACCAAATCCGTGCCCAAAAGCTTGATGAAATCACTGGTCAAGGTGCAAAAGAGTTGCTTGACACGTGCATCAAAACTTGCAGTCATCTCCCAGTCTGCCATTTCTTTGGCCTGGACACGCAAACTGAGATGAGTGAAACTCATAACCTCAATTTGATTCGTGAAGCGAATTACCTTTCTGACCTTGGCACTCCCAGCCTGAGCCTCGGTGTCTAAAACTCGCTGGAACAACTGGCGGCCATTCAACCCAGCCTCCTGGCATCGATGCGGCATCGATGCGGCATCGACACCCGACGACGCCGCACGACCAGCGCGCTGCACGGCCAGCGGCAACGAGTCCAAAATCGGGCTCCCGGTGAAATTCCTTTGACCATTCTGCCTGGGAAATTGATTGACAAGTGCGTGGCTGCAATGTGGCCCAGATCTAAGCCCAGGCCCCAGAAGCACCACACCAACTGACTCAGACCCCGTCGCAGTCTTCGTGCTGCTTTACCTTTGCCTGTTGCAGGTCATAACCGTCATAACCTCTGTGGGTTTCCACAAATCAATCCACTACAACACTTCTATCTTCGTGAATCTCTTGTTAATTCTGTTTGCTCATCCTCCTGGGAACTATATAATTGACTTGGTTGGAAGAACAATCCTGCAAAAGAGGCGAGCAAAATGCACCAGCTGAGCTCTGTCCTCAAAGCTTTGACTGATGCTGACGTTCGCCTGGAGAAGTTGTGGGATGGATGAGCCCGCGTCAGCAGCGATGCCCACGCCATTGGGCCATCCCGGTTTCTTCGGCGACCACTCCTTCAAGTGGCATGGCGTCTTAGCATGACATGAAGCCGTGTGCCACTGTGTCTAACATGGTGATTCCATGTATTTCCGCCAAGTTGGTGATGAAAAAGATCTTGCAGGGCCAGGGAAGTTTCAGCAACCTCAGAATTGAGGAGAAGTATTGTCTTTGGCATCTCGTGCTTTTCTTGCGAAAAGCACTAGCAGGGCTGAGGAATCCTGATGGGCGGAATTCGTGCCAGGTGGGGCACGTTGTAAGCCCCTCGCAGTGCAGATTTCGTGGCAGGGGCAGTGCTTTGCGATCTGAAGCGCACCTCTCAGAGGAAGTGACATGTATGCCTGCAATTGAAAAAACAAACCACATGTCCAAGGTTCACGATTCACTGCACGTGCCACAGAATCAGAGGTTGCCAAGTCCAAAGCGCAGCACCTGCCACGAAATCTGCACATCGAAGTAAAGCGGCTGCGTCTCCTGCACCTGCACAACGAAAAGTCGACTTCAGACCACCAAAACAAGAGGATTCCTTGCGCCTGCCACACCAAGCCCGCGGCACCACAGCGAGAACGCCGTCAAATAAAGCACCCGCTCCGAGGAGGCAGTTTGCGCGAGCCTGCCCAGTCGAAGTGCACTTCGAAGATCTCGAGAGGCACGTAAATAGCAGCGAATTAGCCGCCGCCCGTGGGCCTCGATCAATCCCAGCCTTAACACCTACCGTAAGAACCCCTAGTGCGACCACACTGTTTGGCTAAAAATTACACCACCGTAGGCCCCAAACAGTTTGTGTTTTTCAAACTCGGAACACTCTGCAACTACAGCCTGCGACGTCCAGAGCTGGGAGACAAAGGATTGCAAGGCAGAGGCGGACGCAGCAGTCCAGAGCTGGGAGTTAAATGTAAAGGATTGCAGGGCAGAGCAGACCAGAGCTGGGAGACAAATGTGAAGTGTTGCAAGCGAGAGGGCGCATGTAAAGGATTGCAAGGCAGAGGCGGACACAGCAGCCCAGAGCTGGGAGACAAATGTCAAGGATTGCTCGCAAGTGGCGGACACAGCAGTCCGGAGCTGGGAGACATGTAAAGGACTGCAACACAGCAGTCCAGAGCTGGCAGACAAATGGAAAGGATTGCAAGGCAGTTGGCAGCGCGCAACAAGAAGGGAGACAAGAAGGGAGACAAAAGGAAACAGAAGGGAGACAAGGCGGACACAGTGACCTAGAAAGCATTGAGGACCCCTAACAGTAACCTGTTTGGGAAAGTAAAGAAATCACCCGGGAGACAAATGAATAGAAATGGGCGGACACATCTTAAGAAAGAATTGAGAACATCCTTGCAAAGTGGCGAGCTATCACCACCTCACTGGGCACCAAGCTTGAATTCAACCGGCCCTGTAGTCTGTAGCGGGGAAGCCATTCGAGATGACGTCTGTCATTGAACACGAACGATGAGCGCAGGTTTTCAAAAGATTGGCAACTTCCATGACTGAAAAATGGTTGTACACAGGTTAACCGAGCCGTTAACCGAGCCTTCATGTAGTTTATCATCGGGGGATGCATATGGTTAGTGCCTGACGCCTTAGCTGGAAGGAACCCCCACAGGCAACTCATTTCATCCTCGAATTTGTATCACCCATATCACCCGGGAGACCAACGCGTCGACGCGGCCAGGTGTCTTTCTGCTCAAAGGACCTTAGGACAAGGTCAAAGGATCACCCTTGAGAGTGACAATTAGTTCATGAATATCTCGAACAAACACGCTTTTCAGAGCTAATGTATGTGTTCTGCGCTCTGTGTATTTCTTGACCCCATTCCACACGAAGCTTTTGATGTGTAACGCCTTCGGCTGCAACCAACATCTCCTCCCGCCAAGTGTTGCCTATCCTAACACCTGTCGTGAGGCGCGCTGGCCACGTTGCTTTACTTTCAACGGATCGCTTTTTGTTTCGACATATTGTCGCATGGATCTTCCATCTGGTGAAAGGATCTTTGGGGTGTGGAGCTTGTGAAGCATCTTCTTCTCTGTGTTGTCAAGAACCCCTTCAACCAACGAGCCTTTCCGGCGAGTAGCAAGAGGTCCTGCACTGTATAGGTCACGGAGGTGCGCAGATTGACTTTTCCCGCATCAAATTTGGGCCCCAATTTCACTCGGAATGATGCCTGCGCAAATGAAGTCAGACTCGACCCAGGTGCCAACCATCTGCCCCATGTGACTCAAAACTGTAAACAAGAATGCCATTCAAGTGTCATTCGGATTGACCAAACATGTCAAGGATGCTAATCTTCAACGGCTAAATCATTTAAGCCTCATTCTTCACACCCGAGCAAGGAAAGGATTAGTCTTAACGAATCTCCAGATACCTGCACACGCTTGCAGAGAGCAACCCAGTGAAATGGATCCTGGATGACATGTTCAGACCTCCGTCTTGAGCGGCACGACCGGGAAGCATGGGAATTCCGAATGGTACCACTTAAACCTCAGAGCGCCCACAAGTTCCACAAGGTTGCAGCTTCACAAGAACAACTTGAACCTGAACACAGAACCTAGACAAACCCCCACCCTTGCGCAAAACCCCCACCTTCGGCCGATTCTTGCCACTCTTCGCTTTTGTCTTGGTCGACGATTGGTCGACCAGGAGAAATCTCCTCTCATGTTCCTTCATCTCGAAATTGTTCAGTGTTTCTCAGATATGCTCCGCCAGAAGACTGAATTTCAGCTGCGACCTTGGCTTTGTCCTCGTCCTTGTTGGGAAAGCCAATACCCTCGGACAACCAGCGGATGCTCAAGAAGCGCGTAACCTTAGAGACAGCGGCACTTTCACGACGCTGGCCAGTTGTGGCTAGTGTCGTAGAGTGGTACACTCGCTTTCAAATGAACGTCATGGCCCCTGGGATGATCCGAAAGCCCCTCGGATGATTCAAGGACAACATGTATTCCCTACCTTTTGCGGTGCCAGGTGCGCAGTCCTTCGTGTTTCTGGTCAAACGGCGAAGCTGTGGGATCCGTTTGGTGCTGTCGGGAACCCTGCTGAATTCCCTAAGCTGGTGAAGAAGGAAAAACACCAGCGGAATGGGCCCGCCCCCATCCTGTCCAGGTCCTGATACTTGAGCAAATGTTCTTAGGGGCAAGCAACAGGAGATACTCAAATTCCGAATGGCCCTAATGTAGATAGAGGTAGATATGGTACGTCGTTTTACATCTTCTCTCTGTTGCCCTGTGAAGTCTTCATCCACACACCTTCGACTTATGTTCCCATCACCAATATAGAGTGGTCGAAACCACTCTACCAGCGGGTCCAGTCTGTTTCGGCCCCACCACGAGCAGTGCAGAGCGGTGTGAAGCAGTACTGATCGGGTGTCCCAGCCTTGAACTTCAAATTCTGGCAGCCGAAGTAGATGCCAAAACCAATGGCGTGCGACTCCAAAAACACGGGAAACGTGGGCTCCCCTTTCAGAAATCTGTTCAAGCCTTTACAAGAACAAGAAGCTTCTAGTAACAAGTGCATCGCTTCTAGTAACAAGTGCCTTACTAGTAGTAACAAGAAGCTAGTAGAAAGAACATAAAAAGGTCACAAATGTGGAGAGCCGTTGGAGAATTTATCAATTTATCCCGCCTGCGAGATGGCCACTTTCTTGATCTTGACGATCCTCCAGTGCAAATGAGCGAACAAAGCGCACGGCTTGGAAGAAAAGGCCAATCGTTGGGCAGGAAGTTGACCAGGGGGCTTGGACTGAACGCCCGGTCGTTTCCCCTTTGGCTGGGCGACGTTTCGACCGGAAAGCCCAGTCAGCCGACCTTGTTGGTGCTGTGTCCGATGGTCGCAATCCAGTTCCAGTGACGGGGAGCGATCGGTCGTTGGACGTGAAATCGGACTCATCACCTTCCCACTCCTTCCACCAATTCCAGGGGAGACCGAAAAGGCTGATTGATGGATCCTGATGTGGGAAAGGGAGCCTTCAAGATCAGGAACATGAAAATCCCCTCATGCGCCGCACCTGCCCTGCCTCTTCAGACACCGGAAATTGGTTGACAACTGTTCGATGCTTGGCATGAGCTTGACTGCTTGAGGGTGGTTCCGAATAGCATGTGTTCTTGAGGCGAAAAGAGAGGAAGGGGTTCCAGGTTTCCTCCAAGTCTGGAAGCAAGCATCGCTGGATGCCAAGTCGCTGGCCCAACTTTGCCTGTATCCGCAGGCTCAGGGCATAGTTCCTGCCCTCGGAAAGGGTCCGGGAGTTCGGAGGATCCCAAATGACGGAGTGGGGAACATAGGCCAAGCAAGCCAAAGGACAGCCGAAAACAGCTTGATGTAGGTGACAAATGATGTAAACACTTTCCAACAAGAAGAACGGCCAGAAGTTATTTCAACATGTGAAACTGAGAAGCTGTGAACCAAATCGCATGCGGCCATCGATTCTGTAGCTGTGCTTCTTTTTTGATGTCATCGCAGCAGCATTCTTTTGCAAGTCAAACACTCACCCCCAGGCCACACAAAGCCTGCATCAACTTACTTCATCGACCTCTGTCAAGCTAGGTTTTGGCTTATTCTCACCTATCAACAGCAAAAGGTTATGGCTTGCCCTTGGGTGACAATCATGACCCCGCCACTGGCTTGCCCAAGCATCTAAAGCGCTTTTGTTGCTGCACATAAAGGACTCCTCACACGACTCATGTCTGGTGCACAAACCCAAGGCAAGTGAGGTCAAGGTCAGGCACCCCAAGACATGTGGACATGTTGCATGTCATCAAGGCGCGCATGCAGAACTTAAGGACATCAGCATCATTGTCTTTAAGTGAATCTCATGGTACTTGCCATGCAAAGAATTTGGTGTCATGGTTCCTTTTGATCGAAACCCAAGTCATGTTTGCTTCGGATCTCCGTGTTTTGGGCGGTCGCTCAGTCACGGGACCCTCACCCGGGTCTGATAGGGTGAAAACAGATACTGTAGACAGCGGCTTCGTTTTCGCTTGGGAATTCAGAAATGAAGAGAACTTCCAAGGGTTGAGACAGACGTTGCTCTCTTCGCCGGTAGCGACCAACCGAAACCTCGTTTGCTCTCGTGGCCTCCATGGCGAAGTTGTTGACAGAACGATGACTCGCGACTCGTGATGAAAGAGGGATCAGGGATTGAAATTGTGACGGGTCTCAATGCACACACGTATCTTTGACATTGAAGGCTTCCTTGCGTAAATAGGTATTCTTCATTGTGCTGAGCACGAAAAGCTATTGTGAGTTTGTGAGATCGAGAAAGGAGACCATAAGCCTGGCCTATAGATGTTCAAACGAAACTCAAGACTCAGAACACTCGGAAACTTATGAGTTTGTGCATCATGGGATATCATTGGGTAGTGCTCCAAACTCGCATTTGCAAGAAGCAATTGCCTTTGTGGTTGGGCACGACGCCAAGAGATCCTTTGTTCCTTATATTCTGGAAGTTGCATCGCTGGCACTTTTCAAGCTCTTTCCAAGCTCCATCCGATAGTACTCATCACAATCACTCCATCAAGCAAGCCTAACTAACCTTGATCCTTGATCTCTGAAATCGACACAGCCAGCTACCCTCTGGAGCTTTTCTCCTCCAATCCTCGTATGCCCTTTTTCGCAGACACCTTCTTCATCTCGAACAAGCTTACCTTAAGGCTTCCAAGTGCAGAATTAATGTCCGAAAGTCAATGTCGTTCAAACCGCTTCAAGCAGATCGATGGTCGGAAGTGATGGTCGCGGGGGGCGAATCGGCTCAACCCATGGCCGCCTCCGACCCAAGTCGTTGCGGCCGTCATTGAGACTCACCGACCCCCGACCAAGTCACATTGCCACGCTTGAAGAGGGGCAAGTCCTTGGAGAGAAGCTCTGTGGCATAGTCTTCAAGCTTCTTTAACGCCGTGTTAACCTCGTGAGTGCACGGCTTCTTTTAGCACGGAAGCATGGCCCTCCGGACGGTACACGGCTCATTTTGGAACCTAGAAACGGCTCATTTTGGAACCTGGCTCATTTTGGAACCCAGACGAAAAGAAAACTCTCCGGGACTGCAGCGTGAGACCAATTTCGCGGCTCATTTTGGAACACGCATCATTCGGTAGTGCTTCGAAGGTAGCATTTGCTAGTGAAAATGAGTGTTTCGTACGAGACTTCCTCCAAAAGTGAGCCGCGGAAGTCTCCAGAACGAGCGTATCGTACGAGACTTCCTCCAAAAGTGAGCCGCGGAAGTCTCCAGAACGAGCGTTTTTTGCGAGACTTCCTTCAAAAGTGAGCCGCGGAAGTCTCCAGAACGAGCGTTTTGTACGAGACTTCCTTCAAAAGTGAGCCGCGCAAGTCTAGAGAGAGAGAGAGAGAGAGAGACAGAGAGAGAGAGAGAGAGCGCGTTTCGCACG